AGAGAGAGAGAGAGAGAGAGAGAGAGAGAGAGAGAGAGAGAGAGAGAGAGAGAGAGAGAGAGAGAGAGGATTAAGTAGACAGATGAGTTGACCTTGCAACACACTGCCAATTTTGAATGAAAGTTGTGGCGAAAAATAAAATAGGGGGGATTGATGCTAGAGAAGAGAGCACACCTTCAAATCCACTGCCAATCTCAAACCCTTTGGTTGCAGGAAGAGACATCATAGCCTTTCCTAGCTCGGCCTCCAGCTTATCAAACACTGGTGTGCCAAGACCCTGTTTCAAACAAGCAAAAGGATGGAGAAGATTTCGTCAACAAAGAAATATACACAAGTTAATGACTTGAGGTGACGCACACAGGCCAGGCCCCCCCTACGCGGGGCTCGGGGGGAGGCCCAATCATTATTTCTGGCAGGCCCCTTCTGGCAGGCCCCTTATCCTCCTGGCCCTCTTTTGGGGATCAGGGTCGGCCAAAAGGGCCCCAGGCATCATGAGGTCCCATGATGAGCGAGCTTCAAGCCGGCATGTGGATACTTCTTTTTTTTTGTTGTTGTTTTGTTTTAACCATGTATGATACTTTGACTGTTCTGACTCTTCTGAGTTCATTTATTTACTATTACTCTGTCGGCTCAACTTTGGGTACATATATTTTGTTGGTGTCCTGCACCGGTTCATGTTGTCCTGGTCCAGATTGTATCCTCTCTCTGTTTTGTCCGAATCCAAACAGGGACAAGTTTGTCCGTCCGGACCTCCACAGGACACTGATTCCAGTATTGGGCGAACAAGCTTGTTGGTTTGTGGCTGGGCTGTGTTTGCCCATTGTGCTCAGGGCCAGCTGTAAGCCCAGATCCTACTGCTGAGCCAGGGAGTTGGACCTGGCCGTGCACATAGGGGCCCACGCCACATGTTTTGGGTCTGGGATAGATCCAACGACCTGGGAGTGAGGTCGAGGCCCAGGCCACGTGTTTCGGGTCTAGGGTAGATCCAATGACCTGGGAGTGAGGTCGGGACCCAGGCCACATGTTTTGGGTCTGGGGTGGATCCAACGACCTGGGAGTGAGGCCGGGTAGCAAGCGTGGCCGGCCAAGTAGTATTAAGGGAGAAGGGGCGGCCCAGTTGGGAGGTGGACCCATTCACGTATTCTCACCAGACTGGTGGATTGGCAAGTTGAGCAGCCCCGCGGGAGGGTAGAATAAAGCAGAGTACAGCTGAGTAGAGGTACGAGTAGGAGAGGTATACGGGAGTCCACTTATCTCGTCCCATAGCTTGGACGTCGGCCGATGGCCATAGCTGGCCGCCTTCTTCAAGGTACTTGTGCTCAAGGCTCTGTATTTCACCGGTCAGTATTTCTGAGGGATGGAAAGATCGAAGTTCACGAACTCGTGAAATTTGCTAAGGGAGTGTCAGTGTTCTCGAACATATATATACAGGCTAGTTTTCGGGTCTGATAAGTCATGATGAGATCATGAGGATGCTCTCTGCTCTCAAATGACCGCAATGATGGCCAGAGCTGGGTAGGAAAAGCCCTAGTGTGAGTATGCCCTTAGTGTTCTCACAATGAATACAAGCTAGTTGTCAGGCTGTTGCGTCCTTGATGCTCTCTGCTCTTAGAAACGGGCCATTCAACTGGGCCATTGTGTACATAGGAAAAAAGAAACAAGAGGGAAAAAAAGGAAGGAAAAAAATAGTTATCTTATTGGCATGGAGGGGCACGCACCCTCATCATGACTGTATTTGGCCGCAAACCGACCTTACGTACGTTCGAGGACTCTAATTGGCCACGAAAAACTGACCTTACGTACATTCGAGGACTCTGATGGCCCCTCATCGAAATCGTGAACTTCAAAGAGGGCTGTTTAGTGTCCTCAAATGTACACAAGAGACATTTCCGGCTCCATACAGTCTTGACGAGGGTGTGTGGTGAGCTCTTTTGATGGCGTGCACTCTCGCTCCTTAAATCTAAAAACAGGAAGGAGACAGGATGCCCACTTCTTTGCATCTTGCTTTCATTTCCAGCATTCTTGTTTGTGACAGTATCACGCCTGCTGCAGCAGAGTGAAGGCAACTTCGAGATAGGATGCCGTGACTTCCCGTCCGCAACAGAGGTGAGCCCCCCCCCCCCCCCCCC